CCGGGGGTGCCCGCCGCCCCACGGCCCGTCACACTCGCCCTCGGGGCGGCACCATCGGTGGCCACATGCCCTCTGCCTTGCCCCAGGGGCGCGGGGGGAGGGCAGGCGGAGGGTGCTGGAGACGGGTGGGGGGGGTGCGAGCCGAGACACCCCAAGGCCAGCAGCTCGGCCGAGCAGGGCGGCGTCCAGCACGGGGCAGGCAGGAGCGGGCTGGGGCGGGACGCCCAGGGGGGCTCTGAGGGCAGCTGTCCACACCTCCAGGGGCCTCTCCCAGGAGCCAGCCTAGGCCACTGCCCGCTGTATCCGGCCGGCGGAGCTGGGAAAGGAGACCCTGTGTCCTGTGCAAAGAGGGGGTGTCTCGGGGGCCAGGGCGTAGCAGGGGCTGCCGGGCCCCACACCGCACCCCAGAACCTGCGGCAGGTGCCTACCTGGGGGCAGGGGGAGCCGGGCCCGCGATGGCCACAGCTCTGCCTCCAGCGGGGGGGCCCCGGGGTCCGCCTGGGCGCTGACTTCCAGCGTCACAGAGCCCTCGGCCCAGGAGAAGTCCAGCTTGTTCCCCAGGTAGGAGACACCCCAGACGCTCACTCCCGACACCCCCTCGGGACACACAGGGTCGAAGGTCAGGCCGGCCCGGGTGATCCTGTGGGAAGGGCGTGCTCTGTGAGTGCCCCCCTGCACGGCCCCCTGCCCCACCGCGTGCTCACCTGAACCCCGTGAACCCGAAGAGCGCCGCCTGCAGGAAGCCCCCCATGCCCGTCAGGAAGTTCACGGCTCCCGACCCGTCTGCGTTCTCCGTCCACACCTGCGGGCAGCGCAGTCCCCGTGGGACCCCGGCTCGCCGACCCCAGGCCCGGGACACAGCGGCCGGCGGGCTCGGGCCAGGCTACCTTGAAGGGCTCGGAGACGTTGGCCAAGCTCCGGTGCAGCAGGGCCTGTGCCCGGGTGGCGTCCCTCAGCTCCAGCCAGCCCACCGCAAACATGCTCTGGGGGAGAAGGGGGTGAGGCCCGGCCGCCCCCACTGGCCGGCCAGCCCCCGCCCCCTGCCTCACCCAGGTCATGGCCGGGCCCCGCGGGGACGTCACAGCCTCGTAGACCTCCAGGTTGTTCCTTCGGATGCGAGGACTCAGGGGGAACGGGACCGGGTACCCCAGGAGCACCACGTCTGCCTGCTTCACCTCCTCCCCTGGGGGCAGAGGCCTGTGAGCGGGGGCGTTGGAGGAGAGGCGCTGGGGGACAGAGGCCCTGGAGGAGCTGGACCCACTTACCCAGCTCATACCCGTCGAACTCAGGGTGGAAGCCCCTCTCGGCGTCGAAGGGCACCTTGATCCCCTCAGCCACCTGTAGCCATCGGTCGGGTACCGGCCGCCCCAGGTCCATGGCCAGGGCCGCAGCGAAGCGCAGGCTGGGGCGAGCGTGGAGGCTGCAGGTGGCTGCCCCAGCAGGGACGCGCGGGAGGGGGGCTGGGGCGGGGCCAGGGCTGGGGGCGGGGCCAGGGCCTGGGCAG